GTGCAACGCACGCAATGGGAGCGTGCCGTGAACCACGGGGCACCTGAGAGGACGTCATCGAGGCCATCATCCGACCGGGACCGCCAAATCGTCTATTTACGCGGAGTTTGTTTGATTTAGCTACCCAGTGTCGGAGCCAGCGAGCTCTCAAATCGCGATTTACGTCGCAGGGGCACGAGGGCGGCTCTAGGCTAGGCCGCGGGGAGGCTGCAGACCCCGCCACGCGCTGCCACTGCGCGGCTTGGCTGTCAGCAGCGCCTGACCTAGAAACACGGATCCTACAAGCCCCGTGCATCACCATGATCACTGCTGGACAGAGGGAGCGCTGTGGTCGAGCATGAGGTCGAGTACGAGGTCGAGCATTACGAGCAAACCTCTTCCCAAAGCAGTACCATGAAAAACAACTCCTACCGGGGTTAATAACTTGTAGTCGAAGTCTATTACGTTGAGCAGGCGCGCCGGGGATGGGCGGGGAGGTGCTAGGAGGGTGGGGCAGGCGACGGGGTGTTTGGGTTGCGCGCGGGCCGTCCTCGACCTGGTCCGGCCCCGGGATTCGCACGGCACTCCCGCTACCGGCCACCCCACCCCGAAGTAGCCCATGACAAGTGGCCTCTCACCGACTAAAAATATGAGCCGTAGTGCGTGTCTGAGCCGGGGCCCGCGGCGGCGGGGCCTAGCCGAAGGGTCGTCTGGCCGGAGGACGGCCGCCCTGCCGCGAACATCTCTGTTTCTTGACCCGCATGTTGCAGGGAGTCTGCCAGTATTCCGCTGGCTGATTGCTCGGGATAATGCAGTGCAAACCAGACAAGTCGGGGTAATTATTCAACTTACCCGGCTGCTTTTCGAGTGGAAAGTGGCAGAACTACTGGCCACGTGCAGGCGCCCCGTCTATATTCGCACTCCATGGCCGCACTGCCGCCGCGCTCGGCGCCGGCCTGGCCGGGGCTGAGAGAGATGCTGGGCCCGGCTGCCCTCTGAGTGTTTACTAGAAGCACGGCCCGGAATAGCATAGCCGGTCCAACCGTGGCGCCCGGCAGACCAGAGATAGGGATAGCTAGACTCACGGGGTAAACACTGGGTGAAACTGACGGCCCCTTGTGATTTTACTTATGGACACTGGTTGCATTAAACTCATCCCATCGTCCGAAACCTTGATTTTTACCAAGTAAGTCAGAGAACAAGTGGCGAAGAACCATGGAAACCTCGTATGTGTCCTATATTATGTTGAAGATAAAGCCAACTTCAAATTTTGTTGAAAAAAGCAGATGTGAAACAAAATTTTGTCAAAAAATGGCTAGATAAAAAACTTACATTTTTTTCGATCGCAATTCTTTATTTTTGTACGTTGTATTCCCTGGTTAGATCTACATGGTCCACAAAAGTTTCATCCGACCGCAACTACATCTACATACCCGCCGCCTCTCGCTCGCATAGTCGGTACGCGCAGCCGCTTAGTGTCTGTCGTACAGCCACCCCGCCCCACCCCGTTGCCCCGCCCGCCCCCTTCTTCCCTCGCCCCGCTATTTTCAGCAACAACAGCTGCAGGGGCGGTCACCCCCCGTCCTGAACGGTACCATATTGCAAAAGAAAGCACGCGAGGATCGCGTCCAACATGATAACACCTCTATAAACATTTCACAATAAGCCTCAGGGCCGAGCACCGCGCCTGAACAAATTAAACGCGGAGGCACCCCAAACTCGTCCCGACTCGCTTTCACTGCCAGCCGCAGGGTGCGGACATGGTGTCACCTCTCGCGGGATAATATCTGCCCATCTCCGCTGGCGCTCACTCAGGGTGTTATCAGACGCTCCTCTCTCTCGCGGTCGTGAGCGTCAGCCAGGGCAGCTGCTCGCGCCAGCAAGTGTCGCTCAGCTCAGCCCCGCATGGGGGAGTGTTTCTGCCAGGGGAGGGCCGCGCCGCGCTGTCACGCCGACTGACTGATGCATGGTGCTCATTTCCTGCCGAGAGCAAACCGCGCTGCGCAACTCGACGGTGACGGTCAAGGTTATCCCATCTGGGAAGTAGGAGGAGAGCATCAGCCAGGGCTGGACTGGACGAGCGATCAGGAGACAAGCTCCCGCGAGGCACCAGTATACTGGTATAGCCGCCAAAACAGGCGAGGATTGCGAAAAAGACTCCCCCATTACCTCCTGCCGCCCCCCCCCCTCTCTCTCTCTCTCTCTCTCTCTCTCTCTCTCTCTCTCTCTCAGGAACCCTTAACATAAGGTGTAGGTCACGACGAATGTTGGGCGTGGGGTGAGCAGCGACGCCCTGGCAGCGGGCTGAGCTAGTCTCAGTGGACCAAGACCACACTCCGCACGCGGCACTCCCACGCGCCATCTGATCGCTCACTCGAAGGTGCCCCGATCCTCTGGCCCGCCCCCACCTCACGGTCACCCTGCCCTGACTCGACCCACGCGGGGACAGCGAGGGCAGCGAAAAGAAAATAAACGGAGCATCACTGCATCGCGATTCTCGGTCTCGGTCGGTCTCGGTGTCACTGTGACACTGTCACCGCGCTCCTTTCGGTACTATCTGATGACTCACCACCGAATTAAATGAAACCTCGTGAGTCAATCGGCCAAAAGCGAGTACTCTTTTAACAATTAGCGCACTCTGTCCTGCGGCCTATCAGTCATTCGAAAGGCGTACCATGCTACTGTACGGTTGTAGGGTTGTCCCTCCACAAATTTTTACACAAATATTCCCAAAGAGTTTGGAAACATACTTTTTTAAAATACTGTTGGAAAAAAATTCGAGTCCTTCTTTTCCGAATAATTTGGAAAACAGAAACGGACCATTTTACACCAAAACTGTGTTTAATATCAACTAAACTGACAATTAGAGCATAAATTTAGAAATGCCAGTAAAAAATTTCACGCATTGTCGTCAAACAGGGCACACGAAAAGTTTTTATGGAAGACATCGTACAGTTACAATAGGGTATTCCGCTACAACACAATCGGAACCTAAAGAAGAAAAGCATGACTACCCGATCTGTTTCCTCCTGAACGCTGATTGGCCAAAGATAGCGTGGCTGTGGCGGTCAGCCAATGAGCGCGCAGGGGGAAACAGATCGAGCAGTCATGCTTTTCTTCTTTAGGTTCCGGTTGGCCTGCAGCGGAATACCCTATTAGAGATTGTAAATGTACCGGGTGATTCAGAGAGGACGCAGGAGCGGGCGGGTTTGCCTACCCAAGGGGCTATGGTGCCTTGCGGGCGGAGTGTGTAGGCAGTAGGCAAACCCACCTGCACCTGCGTCTTCTCTGAATCATCGTGGAACGGTCTAAGATAGCACGACCCGTGTGGTCAACGCTGTTTCTGTTAGCGCACGCGGGTTTTCCAAATACTCGTGCAAATAAGAATTAGTTTTCAAATCGCCCGACGCGTGTCCACAAGAGAGTTAATCGTTATGCGCACGCAGAGCTTTCTGCTTGCCACGAGTTTGCGATTCTGCACAGAGCAGTGACAAACGTCGGTGTCAGTAGGTGACCAACAGATGCAAGCTCTCGTAGCGCCTGGTGGATAGGCAACATCTCGTCTGCATTGCATCCGTGTACTGCGGAGTGGCCTACCCCGAGTCTTGCAGGCGCCAGGCTCCGGTTCCGAGTGATAAATGCAATATTGAATTGACGTAGGCAGGCAGTCCCTTACATACGTTGTTGTTATTGACATGTTGGAAATTTTGATTCCGCGTGCGCATAACAGTTTTAGAGTTATTCAAACGCGTCGTGCAGCTTTTCTATGTTTCCTACTTTTGTCCAGGCCTCACTTTGTTAGGTGAGGCGGCGCGAGGCTGCGACGCAGAGCGCGGGTCTGTGCGTGCAGGCAGGTGCATCCCTAACTGGTGCCCCCCGCTCGCCGCTTGCTCTGCGGGGCAACAGCTGCACTTTTTTATGTCCGGCTGGTGCCGCTCTGCCCCATTGCCCTCTTGGCGCGCGTGCGGCCGTCATGCACGGGCCCGGTCGGGCCCAAGCTCGCTGGTGTACGTGTCCACGCGCACACAGGCGCAAATGGAACACTACTTTTGGTTAAAGAGTTTCTTACTTAAGAGTAAACGTTGAGAACGAAGCGAAGGCTGGGCACTGGGCAAGGGGTTACTCCCCTATAAGTCTCGAGGAGCTGTGCTGTGATGACGTTTTCCTCGCAAACCTCTCCCCCTGCCCGTGACGTCGTATCGGCAGGATGCGATGCGCACCGCCCCCGCCCACCGCGCCATGCGCCGCCACAACGCCAACGCCACCGGCCACCCCAAAGAAAATATACAACTCACAAAGGCGCCGATTGACGTCAAAATGAACGCAGCAGCAGCTCCCCATCCCCATGTGGGGAGGTGCCCGCTGGTGCCCCCTCCCCGTCCCCGTTTGGCGGTGAGCTCAACTCGTCCAACCACACGCCCTCTGCTGCTGGGTCTGCGCGAGAATCGCAGATTGTGTTGTATACTTTGGCGATGACCTCCCTCAAGGTTGCGCACAACTCGACACCTCCCTCGGCGGAAACCAGCTCGCACCAGGCTCATCTGTGGTTTCGCGAGAAAGAAAACTTTCGGAGAGGTATCTGGTTCCTGAACGGGCAAGGGGTTTACACAAACTGAACGCTAGCCTATCCATAGGGTATGATAAATTTAGACCCTCATGATACATAATCCAAAAAGAGTTGGCAGGTTTATTATGCTTATTTTGGTTGAGTGACAGTGACAGTCTGCTTGACATTGCTGTGGAGGACTTGCCCCGCCTCTTGAGCGTCACCGCTACTCCTCGACATTGACGGACCCCCCCCCCATTCTCCTTCCCCCTTCTCCTTCTCTACCCTATCTCTTTCGCCCCCCTCTCTCCTTGTCTCTCTCGAACACTTTCTCCGGCCTATTTACCTAAATCCGTCCCTCCCCTCCTCTACGTTTCCCAATCCCCGGCAACGTGCTGGCGTCTCTCTCTCGCCGCCGCGGCCGCGGGTCGCTCGCGCTCCCTCCCGCGACGCCAGCGCCGCGCCGCCCCCTGGCGGCGGGAGGCGGCGGCGCCGGCCCGGCGGCGGCCCCCTGGCTCGAGCCGCCCGTGTGAATCAGTAGTGCAACAGGCGGTGAACCCTTCAGACCGCACTTAATCGCGGACTGTGGGTCGGTTGGAACTTGTGCTCCGTTTAGATTAAATCGAACGGTGAGTATAGGAGGGAAGACGGGGCTGCACCCCCCTTTGGACTTTGGAGCCAGGGCACCTGGCGCATCTGACGCACCTCGCGCCCCGCGCTCCCCGGCCCGTACGCCCCCTGCCACTTGTAACGCCCCCACCCTTCGGCCCCTCCGTCGCCCTGCCCGCGCTCCGGACGGTGGACGCCGACGGTCAAGCTTTGTGAAACGAGTGATAACAGGATAAGTGGAAGTGAAGTGTGAGCCATCGATCAGTGAAGTGTGGATCCTCAAGTGGACTGCAGTGGACTGAGTGGATAGTGAGTGACAGCATCCCACTTGATTCTCCCGGAGGGACGACGAGCCACCTGCAGGCGGTGCCACCTGCTGCTCCACGTGAATATCATGTCGTAACTGGACCGTGGAGGGACCTCCGATGAGCTGGGCCACCCCTCTTTGTGCCTGTTTGTAGGAGATGATCTTGGAGGGCATAACTGTCTCTTTTGGAGAGGTCAGGGCTCGCGGAGCACCATTCAACCTATCGACCAATATTTTTAATATGGGTTATTTATTTCTCTGCAAATTATTTATCTTATGGTCAACATTCACGTGTTTTGCGATAGGGTAATATATATGCATGCCTCTCCATAGTTGGTAGGGAGGCATCGCGAGAGGGTGTGGCCGGGGCAGGGGCGCCAGAGCGCCAGGGCGCCTGGGGCCCGACGGCCCGACTCGGGCGCCATTGTCGCGGGCTCGCGACTATTTCTGATGGCACCGTCATAGCATACCTGGGGGTGCCGGTCGCGGGGAGGAGAGAGGGGTAGGGGAAGGGGGCGAATTGGACAGGAGCCTAAGCCCAGGGGAGGAGGAGGGCTGGGGGATAATGAGCAGTCTAGCGGCTGTCACGGGTAGAAGGGGTACGCAGTGGTCTGGAAAAAGTAGGCGGGTAAATGGGAACGCCATTTAAGTATAACAATCGACGTGTATATGTACATGTGTGTTATGTTTACAAAGGTGTTCAGTATTTGTTTCGAATTTAATTGCTTTAGTGGCTGAGCATTCAGTTGCTTTGAGCTGTCTGGTGTGCGCCGTTGAGTCCGTTGCGTCGGGCTTCACAAACGTGTGTTAGGGTTACACACCGTGACGCGAACGTTACGTGGCGTTACAGCGTCGTGTGGGAGGGAGAGGCCTCGAGCGAGCCCGGGCCTGGTCGGGCACGGCGCCAGGCAGCTGTGGATCCGTTTCCACCCCGCCGCGGGGCGCCGCCTTGGCGCACGACGCCGTCCTGGCCAAAACAGACGAGCCCCCATGACGCCTCTGCTGTCGTCCCCCCCCCCTCTCTCTCTCCCTCTCTTCCCCTGTTTCTCCACCTCTTTCCTCCCCTTTCTTCCTCCCTCTCCCAACTACCAGCCCCCAGGCATTTGCTCTTGAGGCACGAGTACACTATACATCTCGAGGGTATTCTGGTCCCTGATGTCACACTGACAGGGGACAAGAACACGTGCAGTGTGCAGTGCCCCTTTCTTTCTTTCTTTCTTTCTTTCTTTCTTTCTTTCTTTCTTTCTTTCTTTCTTTCTGTCTTTCTGTCTGTCTGTCTTTCTTTCTTTCTTTCTTTCTTTCTTTCTTTCTTTCTTTCTTTCTTTCTTTCTTTCTTTCTGTAGTTTGACTCTCTAACGCACACATGGGTACATGTTCCAACTTTTCGAGGATTCTTGGGTACATCGGACAGTGATCGGCAAAATCATTTTCTTCCTCTTTTATGTATTCATTTGAGCATATGAGTCCATTTTCGAGGTTGAGTGCTACGCACGTAACCCGGCCTTCACCCAAAACTGTTCTTTCCTCTTTACTTTACCGCCGTCTCCAACAGCTGACCCAGACTCCCGGCCGACCTTCGTCACGCCAAATACAGTTCCGCCGCGTGGCGTGGCGGCGCGAGTCGGCGCGAGGCGCACTGCTTGGGGCTTGAGGAGGGGCAGGGCCGGCGCGGCTAAAGGTGGAGTGGGCCGGGACTCACCTTGAACAACTCCAACGGCCCCACTACCCTCAATAGACTCGACGTTCCACATACCCAGCATTGCCCACTCCGTTACACAGCTGTAAACTGTTGAGCCGTAAATTAGTTAGCGCACCCCGAATGGGAAGCTAGCTCGAAGATATAGAAGCTGGGAAGATTGAGAGTTTAGTTTCGGATCCAGATCCAGCGGTGCCTCTACCTGTTATTTGAGAGAGAGAGAGGAGAGAGAGAGAGAGAGAGAGAGAGAGAGAGAGAGAGAGAGAGA